CATCGAGAGATGGAGGGCTCTTCCACAAGGTGAGCTGGCTAGCTGGTTTCTTTTCATTCAAGATGTACAAAGGGATATAGATCACCAAATTAATCATTGTTTTAGCAATCATATTTGCTAGTTTCAGTACCACAAGCCAGGGGAAGAAAGGCTAGCAGTTTTTTTTGGCTAGCGACTTGACATCCACGAAAAAGAGATCGAAGATTTCAGGCTTCAGCCCAGTGCGGGTTTTAATGCTTTTAATTTAAGATCCTGTAAACCTTGGCGTTGGCAGTGGAGATCTCCACTGAACAATCGATAGACCTTGTCCCAGTTTTGGTTCGGCATTTTATTTTGTCACGTTGGCAAGGGAAACCTCATATAACTCTAATTTGATGCAGTTTTTCTGTGGGAATACACTGTGAAATACTTTCTGTAATTCCGTTGAATTCTGATCATGAAATGCTTCAGCTTGGGACCGCTGACCAACGCATTGCNCACAAGGTGAGCTGGCTAGCTGGTTTCTTTTCATTCAAGATGTACAAGGGGATATAGATCACCTAATTAACCATTGTTTTACCAATCATGTTTGCTAGTTTCGGTCCCACAAGCCAGGAGAAGAAAGGTAAGCAGTTTTTTCGGCTAGCGACTTGACATCCACGAAAAGAGATGGAAGATTTCAGGCTTCAGTCCAGTGCAGGGTTTAATGCTTTTAATTTAAGATCCTGTAAACCTTGGCGTTGGCCGTGGAGATCTCCACTAAACAATCGATAGACCTTGTCGCAGTTTTGGTTCGGCATTTTATTTTGTCGCGTTGGCAAGGGAAACGTCATATAACTCTAATTTGATGCAGTTTTTCTGTGGGAATACACTGTGAAATACTTTCTGTAATTCCGTTGAATTCTGATCATGAAATGCTTCAGCTTGGGACCGCTGACCAACGCATTGCCTTTGCGTAAAGTTCAGCTAACTTCAGGAAATCCTGAATTTTTTTGTGTGTCCTGACCTTAGAATTCCAAATGGTTATTTATTCATTCATTCATTCATTCATTCATTCATTCATTCATTCATTTATTCATTTATTTATTTATTTATTGGTTTATTTGTTTGTTTGTTTGTTTGTTTGTTGTTTTTTGCGTTTCGGGTTTAAGCAATCCGCGGTTAGGATTTTTTATGTGCTCTAGGTTGTACCAATTTTGTGTTCCGGGCTTATGTATTCCGGCATTCCAGCGTTTCGCCGTTCGTGGGCGGTTTCAGTACAATGCACTATTAATGAGTTCTCGACTTTCGGAGCAGCACGTTGTTTTCTGTTTATGCTTAAGTTTATAACTCGACAGAGTTTTTAAGTCTGAGAGCTTAGCAGTTTCTCTGCATTGGATAATTAAAGCATTTTCAATTATTCGGTAAAATGTGCACAATTCATTTCCTTCGAAAAACTAGATCTAAAATATAGACAATGCACATGGATTCAAAATGCGTCAACAGAGAAAATGCATAATTATATAGAATAGCTACCTCAGACCTTCACCTCAGCTGATCAGACAAAAAACTATGATTCAGATGTCTCGGTAGCCTGTGGAGAAAAGACAGGTGACAGATTAGCGTAATGACCTGGCTCGTGACGTTATGATGGTAAACGAAACTCGATAAAAGCCCAGTTAAAATTCTTTCATAATATTCGGCTAGTTTAATTTAGCTGGCGATAAAAGGACTAAATATTCTGTGTTAGAGACAATTAATTACCCAGATCTAAAAACTAGGACCGCTGAAGACAAGTCAGTTCTTAACTTCAACTATAATACTCCTACGCAAAAATGACGTTTTTCTCAATTTCATTTTTTTTTTCTCAAGAAACTTTCTTTTTTACCTTCCGACTCTATGCTTAAGGTACATTTCGTTTTAGTATCAGCCAAATGTACTTTACAAACCGCAGACTATAATATTTTGCAAGCAGCGT